AAAAAAAAAAAAACAAAGCCTGTGGCAAGGATCGTTTTCATTGGCTGCTGCGTCCCAGCCGGCTGCTGGAAGCCTGTTAAAGTGTCACATTTGCTGTCACCTTTTCTTCTGGTGCTGGAGGTGCTCTGTGTGATGGACTGTGTGCCGTAGCGTGGTGATTTCACGTGCAGGATCCCTTTAGCGCTGTTGGAGGAATGCCAGCTCCTTGGGTAACTCGTTCCGTTCGCTTCGTCGGTTCGGGGTGATTCTCTTCAGCCTGGTTTGTAGGAGATCCTGCGCTGCGGAGCCGTCCCCTGATTTGGGATCTTCCTGCCTTCTCCGTAGGGACTGCAGTGCGGGAATTTGTTTCCCTGCCTTGGGCTCCTTTAACACAGCTCATCAGCCCGGTCCTGTTGTTGGCTTTGGGAACTTTCCCAGGTCTCTTCTGAAGAACGATGGAAAATGAAATGGTTTCAGAGTCCTCGAAGCAATTGTGATGTCCCTCGGAGGGATCTCTGCTGCACTCTTTGCTTCCCAGCTCACCCCATGCTTTCAGATTGCTCCCCCGGGGCACGGCCCTTCATAGAGCTCCCTGTGAGGTGCTGGGGTTGAGCCGTGCTCACTGTGGGCTGGATTATAATGCAGACGCTGCCTCAGCTCAGGAGTAAATCTAGAGCTGGTGCCTTTCAGCACCCTCTGGAAAGCAGCAATTTACAAAGGCTGAAAAACGCGTCCTGGCCCATTTCCTTTGGGAAGCGCTTAAAGTCTTTGATTATTTAGCGATCTGTTTGCTCTGCTGTGACGCCGTGGCCTTCGGCTGATTTGGAGCTGGGAGCTGCTAGGAGTAGGGAGCGGTCCCCAGGAAGCAGCAGAGGCTGCAGGAGGGGCGGGCTGGGCGGAGGGAGCGACCAGCACAGGAGCAGAGCATGCTTCCTCACCGCGGGACTGCAGCGGGACCCCAGGGACGTCCGCAGTAGGCACAGCAGCCCGGCGACGGCACCCGAGCGCGGCTGCTGACTCTTCCCCCTTTCTCCCTGGCAGTTTCAGATCGGAGAGCTCGCAAACACTCTGACTAGTAAATTGGAGTTCCTGGGCATCAACAGACAATCTATCTCCAACTTCCACATGTTGCTGTTGCAGACAGAGGTAACCGAGCCTTCGCCCCTTGCTCCGGCCTTCCGTCTCCAAGCGGATCCCGCTGTGCGCCGCTGAGCGCTGCGCGAAGCTCGTGGCTCCGGCGCCGCAGGGCCCATCCTCGGTGGGGTGCGAGCATGGCTTTGCGCAGAGGCGGGCTCCTCCTCCCCGCCCCCCCGCGCCCCCGGCCCGGAGGGCGCCCCGCCCCGCCCGCGGCCCCCCCCCGGGGGGTGGGGGGCCCCCCCCCCCCCCCTCAACGGCTTCCCCCCGGTTCTTGCCCCTCTAGACCCGCATTGCAGACTGGCGAGAAGGTGCTCTCAATGGAAACTACCTCAAACGCAAACTCCAAGATGCAGCCGAACAGCTAAAACAATACGAAATAAACGCCACCCCTAAAGGCTGGTCCTGCCACTGGGACAGGTACGCCCTCTTCTACCTTTCTCACCTTTCATCTCTGACATCTCAGACATGATTTGTGACCATCACCACCTGACGACGCGGCGCCGTCCCTCTTGGAGACTCCATTAGCGGTGCTGGGCAGGCAGAGCAACTTGCGGCACTTTCAGAGTTTGAGCCGGCCGCCAAATGGGAGAAATGCAGAGCGAGTGCTCAGTGCTTTGAGACGGAGCCGATCCACTGTTTGGACAGAGCTGGTGGCACTCTCACGAGTGTAAAGCGCTGCTGCGTTGGGCGGGCCTGGGGGGTCGCGCATGCGAGAGCTCTGTGAACTTTGCAGGATCTCTGGATCACCTCTTCTGACCAACAGCTCTGACAAAGGACAAACTTCAACTCATCGCCGGAATGAAGAACAAGATTTCTGTCTCCTGCCAGCAGGTCAGACCCAAACATTTCTTTGTCTATTTGGCTTTCTCAATTAATTTTCCTTTATTTGAAATCTTTGCTCTTTTGTTTTTCAGCTCCCAGATCTGCTCCCTTTCTCTAGCATTCACTGTATGTTTGACACCAAGAGTATCATAAAAGCGACCTCCACGCACCGCGGGGTTGGGGGCAGCCGCTACTCACTGGGCTGTTCCCTGGTGCCCCTTCTTGGAGGGGCAACTTTAAGCCGAGGTGGCGGCTCAAAGTCCCGGTGCTAGTGCGACGTGGCTCTGCTGCACGCTGGCCCGCTCTCAGCCCTCCCCTCCCTCGGAGCAGGGGGCTTGGGGCAGTGCTCACGGAGCCAGCGGGGCCGCTAGCTTGGAACAAGCTGGCTTGGGCCTCTCCTGCCTCTATCCTCAAAGTTGTTTGTCGCGTTTGGGAGCAGCAGCCCAGCTGCAGAGGGTCTTCCCTGCGAGAGCACACTGCTGTCGTGGGCGGGCCTGCCTTGGAGTGTTGCTGTGTGGGAAGGGAATGTAAAGCTTTGTTTTCTTTCTTGTGATTTAGGGAGCATAGGCGCTATTTCTATGTTAACGAGCACTCAGGAGAGTCACAGTGGGAGTTCCCCGACGGAGAGGATGAAGATGAAGGACAGCAGAGCGTCGACAGAAAAGCTGACGATCCTCCCAAACCACCTCCCAAAGAGAAAGGAGAGCATCCCGCCGATGCCACTGAGAGTTCAACAGGTATGGCGTGGGGATAGGAGGAGGAGGGGGGAGTTCGGTGTGGCACTCCCAGCCCTAGGAGCGGGTCCCCGTCTGTGCAGCGGTGGCGGTAGCTTTAGGTGAGCCTCCCTGTTCGGCAGCAGGGCCTTGGAAGGAGGCAGCACGCACCCGTGCTGGCAGCGGAGCGGCAGCGTGGTCAGTAGCCTGGGTTTTCAAGCCTGTGTCACTATGTATTCTTCAGGCTCCCTTTGTAAAGAACCCTTCTCAGGCCAAGTCCCTGCTACGTCTCTCATGCCGCTCACTCCATTTTGGACTCTGCTTCAGTCCTCTGTCCCGGTCCTCCAACCTCCCTTGCCTTTGGAAATGCCTCCGCCGCCTCCGCCTCCACCTGACTCGCCGCCACCGCCACCACCGCCCCCACCACCTCTTGGAGAAGATGGCGAGATCCAGGAAGTGGAGATGGAAGACGAGGGGGGCGAGGAGCCGCCTGCCCCGGGGACGGAGGAAGATGCTCTGCTCAAGCCTCTCCTACGCCCAGCTGTCAGCAGGAGCCAGGTGAGCAAAGCTGGGCCACGCTTGGTGTCTCCAGCTAGCAAGCCGTGACCCCATTGAGCCCTATAGGTGCCGTCTGAGTTCCCAGCCCAGTGCTTTCCATTGCAGGGCGCTGCCGAACCCAGCCCTGCCCTGCTACTCTCCGCCAAGCCCCAGAAGCGGAAAGCCACAGAGATGAACGCGGAGCTGATGCAGCGAACGGCCACCATCGGCAGCTGCCCTGTCATCTACAGCCAGCCCTTGATGGCCACTGGCAAGTACCAGCCTTCGCCTGTGCCCCTCGCCTCCCTGAGGCCACGCCAGCGCCTGCAGGGCGACATGCAGAGCCGTGCCAACCTCCGCCTGCCACCGGGACATGCAGTCCCTCAGCCGTCCAGCATGGCCATCCAGCCCGGCTACTTGGGTGTGACAGCACCCGCTGCACCATCCGTCATGAGCTACTCCGAGTGCACCGTGCCTGCTGGCCTTGCTGCTGTGCCACCGGCCCCAGCACGCGGCTCCCTGCCTGCCACCAGCACTACTGAGCATCCGCCTCCCCCACCTCCACCCCAGACACCTCCACCTCCCACACCCAAAGCGCCGCCGCCGCCAGATAAACCTGAAAAGCCAAGGAAGGGGAGGAAGGAGAAGGTAGGAGGACGCTCCTGGGCTGTTATGTTGCCCGTGAGCCTGCTGTCCTGATGATGTGCCTAACTGCAGCCCATTTAATTCCTTTGCAGAGCAAGAAGGGCAAAACAAAGATGCCATCACTGGTGAAGAAGTGGCAGAGCATCCAGCGGGAGCTCGATGAAGAGGAGAACTCCAGCTCCAGTGAGGAGGACCGGGAGACAACGGCGCAGAGGCGCATTGAGGAGTGGAAGCAGCAACAGCTGCTCAGGTATGGACACAGGAGCTTTGGCACGGAGCACTGCTGTCAAGAGCCGTCTCCTCATCCCCTTTAGAGGCAGGGAGTGTGATCTGGAGTCTCTGGCTGGGGGAGAGAGTGGTGGGGAGAGTATCCCTTTGCATCACCTGAGTGGCAGGCTGACACCCTGCTTTGTCCTTGCAGTGGCATGGCGGAGAGGAACGCCAACTTTGAAGCGCTGCCAGAGGACTGGAGAGCACGGCTGAAGCGGAGGAAAACTGCATCTAGCACGTGAAGTGTACACGCGGCGCTGTTTTTTACAGTTGTACAGTTTGGAGCCCTTTATGACTCAACTGTTGTCCAATAAATTGTAGCAGTTTGGGATGTGCCGTCTGCTTGAAGGGCAAGAGGGACATTGGGGGTTCACGTGGTTGGGGTGACATCTGTGGGCTGGGGCTGGAGTGTCACCTGCAGTGTGGAAACGAGGGCCCTGCCATGGCACTGCTCCCCTCAGTGTTCACCAGGGCACAGTGAACAACACGGTCCTTCTGGCTCCTTTCCCAGCTCCAGCCGCCTGGGACCGCCCCATCTTTCCCCACTGCCAACGGTCACTGAGCAACCGCGTCTGGGAACAGGAGAAGGGGATACGAGAGGGTTGAGTGCCTCTCGAAGCCATGTGGCTCCTGAGGCACCTCACTGCCCAGGTTGGGGGCTGCCAGGGGGATTGGGAGGAGGACTGGTGGCTGCCAGCCCTGGGAGTGAGCAGGCCCTGATGGCACCGTTCTGCCCAGGCTGTCCCTGAGCCCTACGACAGCTTCATGCACGACCACCTGTGCTACTACGGCTACTTCAAAGGTGAGCTGCGTGTCACCTTGTACCCCGGGCTGTGGGACCCCCTGGTTGAGCTCCAGCAGTGCTCTCCCAAAGGCCATAAGACAGCCAGCCAGCAGAGCTCTGTGTCTCCATGGGGACACACCGAATGCCACTGTGCTGACTCTGGCACCCAGCAGTGTGTAGGGAAGGACCCAAACTGTGAGTAAAACCCCCAGCACCAGGCTGCAGCACTCCTGGTGGGGTAACGGGTGCTTTGGGGTTGACACCAGGAGCGTTCTCCAACCTTTCCAGCCCGTGCTGTCTGTTCTCTGCTGGAACTGCACCATGGGGCTGGGAGCCCCCCAGCTCATTCTGCAGCCCCCAGGGCCCCGCAGTTGGTCCCATTGCAGGGCTATGGGTCACTCAGGGAGCCACGGGCTCTCTTTGCCCTTCCCTCGGCACGAGGGCCCCTTCCTGCTCCCCGGTGGCCCATTGAGTGCGAGGTCATCAAGGAGACCATCAAGCACATCGGTGAGGTAGCACTCTGCCTTTTCCTATCCTTGTCCCCATGCCCAACCACTGTGATGATAATGGGGTGTGTCTCCATCCCTCCCCAGAATGGATCCCCCCTGAACCAGAACCCTTCTGCCAGCCCATGGACCACCACTGGCTGCCAAGGGCTGAGCAGCAGGGCACTGTTGTCTACCAGCTCAGCCCAGGTAGTGCCCAAGGGTGCTGCTCACCCCCTCCTCATCCCTGTGCTATCACCGGGGTGCTGAGCCCAGCTGTTCCCAGTGCCCTCAGGCTCCTGCTTCACCCGTGCTCGGGCTGGGGGGGCCCCAGGCCCCCTTTCCTCACCAGCCGCCGCCCTGGAGGACTCCCAGGACAACACGCTGCTGTTTGAGTCGCGCTTTGAGTGTGGCAACCTCCAGAAAGCAGTCAAGGTGTAAGAGTGGTGATGGGGATGGGCAATGGGAACAGTGGCATGCCCAGTGCCAAAGTGTGGTCCTTCTGCCCACCAGGGGCCCCTATGAGTATGTGCTGACACTGCGGCCAGACCTGTACACCGCCAAGCACACCCAGTGGTTCTACTTCCGTGTGCAAAACACACGGAAAGACACCGTCTACTGTTTCACCATTGCCAACCTGGCGAAGCCCAAGAGCCTCTATGGCAAGGGCATGTGCCCACTGTTCTACTCACAGAAGGATGCCCAGAGCCGTGGCATCGGCTGGCGCCGCGTGGGCACCAACATCCGCTACTACCGAGGGAACAGCGGGGAGGAGCCGGCTGCCTTCTGCCTGTCCTGGAGCACCTGCTTTCCCCATGACAGCGACATGTGCTACTTTGCCCACTCGTACCCCTACACCTACTCGGACCTGCAGCGGTACCTGCGGACAGTGATGGGTGATCCAGCACGCTCACAGTACTGTGTGGTGCGGGCACTGTGCCGCAGCCTGGCTGGTAACATCGTCTACATGCTCACCATCACTGCGCCGTCCGGTGGTGCAGCCAAGCGGGCGGTGGTGCTGAGCGCCCGCGTGCACCCTGGGGAAAGCGGTGGCTCCTGGGCCATGCAGGGTTTCCTCGATTTCATCCTCAGCGCTGCTCCTGACGCTCATCTCCTGCGCCAGCTCTTTGTCTTCAAGGTGGTGCCCATGCTCAACCCCGATGGGGTGGTGGTGGGCAACTCCCGCTGCTCTCTGGCTGACCGTGACCCCAATCGAGCCTACGGGACTGGATCTCGGTGCTCCTTTCCGGCCATCTGGCACCTGCGAGCCATGGTGGAGAGGTGAGGTCAGCGGTGCACGGGCGGCCAGTGGGGTGTTGGCTGCTGTATCCTGACAGGTACCTGCAGGCTCTTGGTGGAGCAGGAGGTGGTGCTGTATTGTGATTTCCACGGGCACAGCCGCAAGAACAATGTCTTCATGTATGGCTGCGATGGTGGTCGGAACGGCTCTGAGACACGGTTGCAGGAGCGCATCTTCCCGCTGATGCTAAGTAAAAACGCGCCTGACAAGGTGGGCTTGGCATCTGGTGATCTGCATTGGGCAGCATCGTGGTGACGTGGGTTGCTGTCATGGTGCCTCCATGGGGCTGCAGTTCTCCTTCTCCAGCTGCAAGTTCAAGGTGCAGAAGAGCAAGGAGGGGACGGGCAGGGTGGTCATGTGGCGAATGGGCATTGCCAACAGCTACACCTTAGAGGCGGCCTTTGGCGGCTCCACGCTGGGTGAGGGACAGTGCTGGGGATGGAATCACTCAGAAACACAATTCCAGCCATAAGGACAGGCTCTGGGGCCTGGTGAGGGATGCAGCCACTCGTTTTGTTGTCCTATCTCCCCCACAGGTGGGAGGAACTCACACTTCACAGTGGAGGACCTCAAATCTTTGGGCTACCACCTCTGCGACACACTGCTAGACTTCTGTGACCCCAATCCAGCTAAGGTGTGTGGGTGACTGCAGCCAGCAGCAGCCCCACACGGCAGTGACAATGACACTGGCTCCATCGCACAGTTCCAGCAGTGCCTGGCAGAGGTGGATGCATTGCTGCGTCCGCGGCTGGGCTCCGGTCAGAGCTGGAGTGACATCGCCGCCTCACAGCTGGAGTCCAGGTGTGTCCCGGTGGTGCCATCTGTGGAAACAGTGACCATGGCAGTGGCTGCAGTTGTCTTCTCCCTCACACAGCACCAGCGGCTCCGATAGCTCCGTGTCTGATGGGTCCCTAGAGAGGAGGGAGAGCCCCTGCAGACAGAAGGAACAAGATGCCAGGGTGGCACTTGGCCGGTTGCAGCTGAGGAGGAGAAAGCAGTTACGGAGCCACAGAGTGAGGAATGCCATGTACAGGCCCAATGGCACCCAAAGGAGTCATGGTGGTGACCCGGTGAGAGTGGCTCAGTGTGGTTCTGCCTGCCACAGTGGGACTCGGAGGGCCTGCAGCCCTGCTTCTGTGCTCCAGCAGACACAGTCATGCTCCCCCGTGCCCCTATCTGTCCCTGTCCCCACACGAAGAGGCTGTGGGGCAGCGGAGGAGTTGCACAGAGCTGTCCCCACTGCACACACAGCAGTATGCCACCACCACACCGCTGTGAGAGCCACACGGATGGAGGGGTATGTGACAACCACAGGGCACCGCTGGGCACCACGGAGTGCCATCGCTGCCACCACCACCACCGCCCCCATCACCACCACGGCCACCAGCACAGGTACTGCTTCTTCACGGGCAGGCCGAGTGCGACCTTCCTCACGGGGCACCACAGCGGCGCTGTCCCCGAGCATGGCCACTGCTGCTGGCTGCGGGAGGTGGCCCGGCCTCACAGCGGCGCGCTGCTCCGCCTGCACTCGGCATTAAAGGCAGCTTTGTTGTGGCAGTGCCGTGTTTGTGTCGCACCGTGTCCCACGGGAGGAGAGAGGGGAGACGGGCTCTCGAGGGCCAGCTGCCATGGTGTCACTTCAGGCCCCGTCGCCATGGCGACAGCTCGAGCCCGCAGGCATCGACGCCGCATCTCAAGCCACAAGGGTGGTGCAGGCCTCGTTGCCGTGGCGACCAGACCGGAAGTGGGCTGAGAGAGCGCCGGAAGTCGCTGCAAGGCGGAAGCGGAAGCGGTGGAGGTGTCCTTTGGGCCGTGGCGCCGGGGCGGCAGCATGGCGGACGAGGCTTCGCAGGTGCTTCTGGGCTCGGGGCTGACCGTGCTCTCGCAGCCTCTCATGTACGTGAAGGTGCTGGTGCAGGTAAGGGGGTGCCGGGGCGGCGGTGCTCGGCTGTGGCATAGCGCAGCGGTACGGGGAACTTGGGGGAATGGCACAGAGAGTGGGCCCGAGGGGGCCGTGGGGACCGTCCGTGCTCTCACGCCGCAGGTGGGATACGAACCACTGCCGCCCACCCTGGGCAGAAACATCTTCGGCCGCCAGGTCTATCAACTTCCAGGCCTCTTTGCCTATGGTGAGTTCCACAGCGCAGCCCCATCCGGGTGCTGTGGGCACACGGTGGGGCTCTGACGCTGCCCATCTCTCCTTCAGCCAAACATATCGTGAAAGTGGATGGCAGAGCGGGGCTTTTCAAGGGCCTCGCCCCCCGTCTCTGCTCCAGCGCCATTGGCACCGTGGTGCATGGCAAAGTGCTGCAGGTACTGTGCCCCCTGTGTGCCTTCGTTTGCAGCTGCTGGTGGGTCACTCCTGACCGTGTGCTTCTCTCCACAGCGGTACCAGGAGGCTGAGAAGGCTGAGGTATGTGAGGGCTTTTAGGATGAGGTTTGTGTTTCAAGGGCTTTCCTCATGCTTTTGTCTCTCTCCAGCTAGGAGCCAGCAAGAAGGAGCCTGTGTCCTCACTGGAACAGGTGCTGAAGGAGGTGAGAGGAAGGAGGGTGCTGCAAGGTTTCCCCCTGCCCTCTTTCCCTGCCTCTGACAGCTCTTCTCTCCTCCAGACTTCCCGAGAGATGGTGGCTCGCTCTGCTGCCACCCTCATCACCCACCCCTTCCATGGTACGTACCCCTGCAGTTGACTGTAACCACCACTGTGGCTCTGTGGGCATCATGGTGGCAGCCTCAGTGCCATCCCACTGTGCCATGCTGATCTCAGCTCTGCCCACAGTGATCACCCTGCGATGCATGGTGCAGTTCATTGGCAGGGAGACCAAGTACAGGTACGGGGGGCAGCCACAGGGTGCCATGTCCCCGTGACCCTGCTTGGTGTGACCAGTGCCCTCTCCTTTTCTTCCTGGCACAGCGGAACACTAAGCGCCTTCACCACGATTTACCGAGAAGAAGGCATCCTGGGGTTCTTCGCGTGAGTGCTGTGTGCTGGGGGCGGTGGGGGTCTTTCCACTAAACCCACAGACCTTGGGCATTGCTTCTTGCTTTGTTTTCCCATTTTCTTGCTCACCATTCTTCATAGTGCTCTGCTTTCATTTTGGTATGTGGGACCAAAAAGATGTACTCCTTGGGCAAGCTAATGGCTTGTAATCACAGTGCCTGCCGCGTGTTCATAGAACCACTGAATGGTTGCGTTGAAAGGGGCCACAAAGGCCCCCAGCAGATTATGCTGCCCAGGGACCCATCCAGGCTGGCCTTGGGCACCTGTAGAGATGGGTCACCCACACCTTCCTTGTGTAATCTGTTGTGTGGCTGTTGTTTGGTGCCTGGGGAACCATAAAACCGTGCTTGAGCCACTCATTATTTCCTGAGTATCCACATTCCTGAGGCTGTGAGCTCTTCCATTGAGTGAAGATCTGCTGTTTCCTGTTCCTAAACTCTCTGCCTCTTCCCTTCCAGCGGCCTTGTTCCCCGGCTCCTCGGAGACATCCTCTCACTCTGGCTCTGCAATATGCTGGCCTACCTCATCAACACATATGCGCTGGAGAACGGGGTATGGGCTCTGTGCCTCAGGGGATGCTCAGGTCCCTGCTTTGGATGGGACTCACAGTGCCTTCCTCCCCCCAGGTCTCTATGACAGAGATGAAGAGCTATTCGCAGGCAGTCACCGGGGTGAGTACAACCCGCAGGTACGTGTTGGCACGCTCGTGGTGTTTCCCACTGAGCAGCCCTGCTCTGCCTTGCAGTTCTTTGCCAGCATGCTGACGTACCCCTTCGTGCTGGTCTCCAACCTGATGGCTGTCAATAACTGCGGGTGAGCGCACTGCCACCACCACCTCCCTCGTCTCCCACACTCGCCATGTGTGCTTGTGATCCATGTGAGGTGTTCCCAAAGGAAGCTCCCAAAGGGCAAGAATGGTTTCCACCCCCCCAGGGCTGAGCAGGCGCATCTGTGGGGAGGTGCGGGGTGGGAGCTGGAACCTCAGCAGTGTTACAGATGGAGCTCAGCCCTGTGCAGAGCCGGGGAATGATGGGTCCTACATCGCCCCTGGGTGGAAATAACACAGTGCTCTCCTTACCAGGCTAGCTGGGGGCCTGCTCCCCTATGCACCCACCTACTCCTCCTGGCTGGACTGCTGGAGCCAGCTGCACAAGGAAGTAAGCGCCACGATGCTATGGGGCTGCTATAGGGCTAAGGGCAGCCCTGAATGACCCCCAGGCTGATACTCGTTCTGTTGCAGGGCAACATGAGCCGAGGGAACAGCCTGTTTTTCCGCAAGGTGCCCACAGGAAAGCGATATGTGTGGGATGAGAGGAGGTTCCGCTGAAGGTGGGAGCGGAGCCATAAACCCATGCTAGTCTCTACTGAGAAGGAATTATGAGAGAGTGGTGATTTCTATACTTTTTTTTTTTTTTTTTTAATCATTTAATTTTGAGCGATGAAAATATCTGTGTGAGAGTGTCTATTGTGGGGCTGTGGGCTTTCTTGGGGGGGGGACGACCCTGCCCTGCCTTGCTCTGCTCTGCCCTGCCCTGCTCTACCCTGCCCTGATCTCCAGCATTCCAAGGAGGCTTGTACACACTGTGCCAAGGTTGTGGGGCAGGAGTGTTCAGGAGTGTACCAACAATCCTAATGTGTTCAGGCACACGTTAGGGTTGTTGGTAGGGCTGTGTGCCCAGCAGGGTTGCTGCAGTCCTCTTGTCCCAATTATACATCCAGCAGCAGCAGCATATTACACCTGCTTGTGGGGTTGCACACCTTGCAGGGGAGGTATAGTTCCACAGATCAAGCTGCACACCCAGTGCCAGGGTTGCACCCCTGCCGGCAGTGTTACACCCCCGGTGTGCGGGCTGCACGCCTGGCTATGGGATTGCGTACCCAGGGGGAGTTGCTGCACGCCCAGTTGTGAGGCTGTACACTTCGTGACCGCCTTGCTCGCCTATCTGGGGCACCGCACACCCCATAATCACGTCGCACAGCCGCTGGGAGCGCTGCAGCCCCGGGGGGGGCGGTCCCTCCCTCCCTCCCTCTCTCCCTTCCTCCTTTCCTCCCTCCACCCCGGAGCGGCGCAGCCATGCGGGTGGGCAGCTGGGCGCGGGGAGTTACGCACCGCGTGACGCTGTGCGGGGGCACGGAGCGGCGGTGCCGGCGACTACTGGCGGAAGGGGCGGCGGGGGGAGGCGCGGAGGCTGGGGCGGCCGTGCTGGTGCCGCTGTGCTCCGTGCGGGGCCGCCCCGCGCTGCTCTATACGCTGCGGTGCAGCCGTCTGCGCGGGCCCTACGGCGGCGATGTGAGGTAGTGAGGGGGGACTTGGAGGGGCGGGGTCGTGGAGTGGGGGTCCCCCCTACCGGCCCTGCCGCCGCGCCGCCCCCCCCCCCCCCCCACCCGTTGCAGCTTCCCCGGGGGGAAACGGGAGGCGGCGGACGGCGGAGCGGAGGGCACCGCGCTGCGAGAGGCGCGGGAGGAGCTGGGGCTGAACCTGCGGGAGGAGAGAGTCTGGGGCCGGCTGCGAGAGCTGCCCGACAGGGTACGGAGCGGGGACACAAAGGGGGATAGAATGGGGATCAAAGGGCACGGGGACAGAGGGACGGCACCGGGACCTTGGGGATAGCGCAGAGACATGGGGACAGAACGGGGACATGGCACAAAACAGGGACGTGGAGACAGCACAGGGACATGGGGGCGTGGACAGAACGAAGGGTGGGGACAGTGCACAGGGGCAGAATGGGGACAGGGTCAGTGCAGGGACACCGAGGACAGAATGGGGATGTGGGGATAAACTGGGGTCGTGGGAACTGCAATGGAGCATGGGGACGTTGGGTACAGAATGGTGGCATAATATACAGAAGGGCATTGTGGACTGAATGGCGATGTGGGGACAGAATGGTGATGAGGACAACGCTGGGACATGGGGACAGTGTGGGGAATATTCGGAAAAATGCAGAGATGGCAAAGGAACGTGGGGACGGAACGGGCACATGGGACGTGTCTGTGCTAGAGAGCGTTTTGACGTTGAGCTCGGGGCTGGCAATGGTAAGTTGAGAAGAGCAACAGTCCCCATGTCTATCACTGTCAACAGGGTGACATCAGGAACAGCACGGGGACACAGGTGGTGTGGTGGGGTTAGAAGCACTTCTGGGGATGTGACAGGGCCGTGGGGATCGGGTGACACAGGACTGGGAGATGGGGTGGGGTAATTGGGAAGAAAGTGTAATTGGGGGCACTGAGGACACCGTGTGGCTGGGAAATGGAACAGAGGTGACTGGGGCCAAGGTGAAAGGGACGCTGGAGACACAGTGGAGACGTGGTGAGATCGGTAAAATTGGTGGGAATACAGGGATGGAGTGTCTGGGGACAGGAGCACTGGGGCTAAGGGAGGATGGGGCTGGGGAACTGGGTGACAGGATGGGGTCAGCAGAGCAGTGGAGACACATGGATGGGTGTGGGGTGGCTGGGGATAGGGCAGCAGGGACATGGTAGGCAGAGGCTGAGGGTTTGGGATAGGACATGTGGGGATGGGGAAGTGAGGGGGCTGCAGCACAGTGGCATTTGTCACCCTGTCTTTCTGCCACATGCTCCCTGCCAGCACGGGATGCTTGTGGTCCCTGTGGTGGCCAACCTGGGACCCCTGGAGGACCTGACACTGTCCCCAAACCCTGACGAGGTGGGTGACCCCCTACCCTTTGTGCCCTTCCCTGCTGTGACCCACGTGCGTCCCCCAACTCTCTTCTGGCTTCTGCAAGGTGGCAGAGGTCTTCACACTGCCTCTGGAGCACCTCCTGCAGGAAGAGAACCAGGGCTACACCCATTTCCGCACTGCGGGTCGCTACGGCTACACCCTGCCTGTCTTCCTCAACGGCCCCCACCGCATCTGGGGGCTGACAGCCATCATCACTGAGCTGACGCTGGAGCTGCTGGCACCCAACTTGTACTGCAGAAAGACCCACGTGCCTGGCCATGGCATCACTGCTCCCCAAAAAAGGGCTTGAGCTGCATATTGAAGGAGCCGAGGCTCTGAGGGTGAGGGGTTTGGGGCTGGAAGGTTTTGGGGTGGAGGGTGGCATGGTTTCACCACTGTCCCCTTCTCTGTGCCATTGCACCCATGGTCGATGTTTCACGTTGTGATTTTAGTAAAAAGCCATGTTTCAAGCCGCTTCAGTTACAGCAGTGTTTATTAAGGAGCTCCAAGAGTGGGCTAGAACCCACTGGGAGCAGCAAAGTGTGGTGCCACTGCTGCCACCACCCCGACCTCCTCATGCTGAGGCCACTCGTGCTTTGGCCTCTCCAAAGCGCCGCATCCTGTCCTCCAGTTCTGGCCGAAAGTGGCGGATGAGGCCCTGGGTTGAGCAAACAAAGCAGAGTCAGTGAGGCTGAGAGCTAAGCCCCTGAGGTCCCGCTGCCATCCCAGAGCCCTGCACCCACCTGCACGGGCCACGCGGCACCATCACCCAGTGCACAGATAGTGTGGCCCTCAATCTGCTTGCTGATCTCCCACAGTGCATCAATCTCAGCTGTCTGTGCGTCTCCCTGCACGAAGCGTGCCATCACCTTGTTCATCCAGTCAACACCTGTGGGGACAGGGACACGGTGACAGGCCCTGTGATGCAGTGACAGACCCTGTGGCACAGCCCCACGCTTACCTTCCCGGCACGGGGTGCATTGCCCACAGCTTTCGTGCTTGTAGAACTCGATGAGACGAGCGATCGCTTTGACGATGTCAGTCTGAGGAGGAAGGGGACAATCAGGGGACACTCATTCAGGGGAGGGGCAGCCTGGGGAGGGCTCACTCTGTACCGATTTATCCATGACAATGACGGCAGCCGTGCCAAGCCCGCTCTGCGCCTGCACCAGGGAATCAAAGTCCATCAACACAGTCTCACACACTGACTTTGGGAGCAGTGGGGTGGAGGAGCCCCCCGGGATGACAGCCAGCAGGTTGTCCCAGCCACCACGGACACCCCCTGCCAAAAAAAGAGGGGACACAACTGAGCCAGGCCCGACAGGACCATCCCGTTGGGTTTGAGCGTGGTGCTTACCAGCATGCTTCTCAATGAGTTCCTTCATTGGCACTGACATCTCCTCCTCCACTGTGCAGGGGTGGTTGACGTGGCCGGAGATGTTGAAAAGCTTTGTCCCGGAGTTGCGCTCACGCCCAAAGCCAGCAAACCAGGCACCGCCACGCCGGCAGATGGTGGGGGCCACAGCCACCGTCTCCACATTGGCCACGGTGGTGGGACAGCCAAAGACTCCTGTAGGGAATCAGAGCTGTGAGTGGTACCGGAGGGAATTAGTGGAGTGGAGATGGGCAGAAGGGCTCCAGCACGTACCCACGTCAGCAGGAAAGGGAGGCTTGAGGCGCGGCTTGCCCTGCTTGCCCTCAATGGACTCGATGAGCGCTGTCTCCTCGCCACAGATGTACGCCCCAGCACCCCTCACCACGAAGACATCAAAGGCATAGTCAGAACCACAGGCATTCTTCCCCAGAAGCCCAGCCTCATATGCTTCCCTGATGGCCACCTGCGGAGGGGACAACAGGTAGATAGCAGCAGGGGATGTCCCCATGTGTGTTCCACTGCGTCCGTGGCACCCACCTGCAGATTGGAGGCCTCATTGTAGAACTCGCCGCGGATGTAGATGTAGGCGGCACGAGCGCCCATGGCACGGCCGGCCACCAGGCAGCCCTCCACCAGCTTGTGTGGGTCGTGCCGCATGATCTCACGGTCCTTGCAGGTGCCTGGTTCCCCCTCATCTGCGTTCACTACCAGGTACTTGGGTCTGACAGGATGCGGTGTCAGTGTCAGCACCCCGTCCCATCTCCCAGCTCCATATATCCATGTTCCCGGTGTTCCCTCTGTTCCATCTCCCTACTCCCCCATCCCTGCCCCCGCCACGTTCCTGGTGTCCCTAAGTAATCCCATCCCCTCTCAGCCCCCTCCAACTTCTCTCTCTTCTTAGCGCCCCTATTACTTTGCTACTAATTTGCCTGTACCCCCACCCTATCTATGCCTGTACACCCTGCACCCCAATGTTGCTTTGTTCCCAATCACCCCAGCCCCATCTCCTAGTCATATGATGTCCCCTGTAATTCCTACTCTTGTGTCCCCAGATCTCCCTGTCCTCACTCTCTGCTGTTCCATCTCCCAACCTTGTGTCCCCAGTGTCTTTGTCCCTAGACACGCCTTTCCCATCTCCCAAGCTGTGTCCCCTGCTCCCCATGTCCCTGTTCCCAAGCAGTCCTGTCAGCCCTCAGCCCCTTCCCTCCCTGACCCTCCAGCATCCCTGTCACTGCATCACCCCATCCTCTCAGCCCCATCCTCTCTGCATCCTCCACATCCTTGCCCTGCCCACCCCTTCTCCTCAGCACCTACCTGCCATCAGGCGGCTTGTTCATGAAGCTCCACTTGAGGCCGGTGGGGAAGCCGGCCCCCCCGCGGCCCCTCAGCCCCGAGGCTTTGATCTCACCCAGGATCCAGTCGACGCCCTTCAGCAGGATCTCCTTAGTCTTGTACCAGTCGCCCCGCCGCAGCGCTCCCTGCAGCCTGCGGGCACGGAACGGCGGCTGTGAGCACCCGCAACCCCCGCAGCCCATGTTTCTCTCCCACGCTCCCGGTCCCCGCTGCCCACCTCCACTCGTGCCGCCCGTAGAGGTTGGTGAAGATGCGGTCCTCATCCTTGAGAGAGCCGAACTGCGTCTTTTTCGGCGCTGTCTGGGGGGAAGGGAGGAGCTCAGCGCGGCCCCGGGCTCGGAACCAGGCTGAGCGGTCGGTCCAGCGCTTACCGAGAAGCCGGCGGCGGCGGCGGGGAGACGACGCAGGGCCCTCAGCTGCCAGGCAGCCATGGCGCTCCGCCGCCACCTTCAGGCGCCCCCAGCTGCGTCGCTCGGATGTGGCGTCATCGGAGAGCGCCGCGGCGCGCTGTGATGACGTCACCGAAGCCGGCCGTGGGTCAGGGGGCGCGGAGGCGGTGGTGGGGTTTGCACCGCACTGTGGGGTCTGTGGATGCTGCGGCTTTCCCGCGGCCAACCCCGCGCTCCAAGGCCACGGCTCCGTGCTCGGGGACCCCTGCAGCCCTCTCCCCGGCTCTGGGACCCCGGTTCTCCCGTCCCCGGGCCCCGCAGCGCTCCCACTGCGGGCCCCCGCGGTCTCGTTGTCCGGTGTCAATGTCTCGGCTCGTGTATCCCAGCCGCCGGATACGGTTTCCCCGCTGCAATCTCACCCCGGCACTGGGGGATCGGATTCGGAGCCTGGAGGGAGGGTAATGAGCCCTGAGCACCGGGCAGGAGTCGTCATGTTCCTGTTCATCCGCAGCCCCCAGCGCCGCGTCCCCGGCAGCCCACTGCCCTCCCCCTGCCGAGCCCCCCCGGGGGTGAAACGGGGCCGCCGCAACCCCCGGGGGCACCGGAGTGCTGGGGGGGGGGCGGCGGAGCACCGAGGAGCCCCAGCTGCCCCTCACTTCCAGGCAGGTAATGGGGCTGGGCAGCTAATTGGGGGGAATGGGGAGGACTTGAAGGGGTGACGGGTGGGGCAGTTACACCGTCCCCCCTCAAGGGGAACAGCTGGGCGGCTCCCCCACATCTGGAGCGGCGTGGCCGAGCAGGGCATAATCCGGGGGATTATGTGTGTGTGTGCGGGCAGCGTGCAGCCCCCCCGCCTCGCCCTGCATATCCCGAGATATTCCATAAAAACCGTAAATCCCCACGCAGCCTCTGTTACTATAAAAAAACCCCGTCCTGGCGCGGCCGGGCCAGAGCGGCAGCCCCCCAGGACTGCGCCAGGCGGCCCCCCGGGGGGACCGGTTATGCCTGGGCACCCCTGGCCATGGGCAACTGCACCAAGACCCCTGAGAGAAGGCTCTCCAAGGTAAGGCTGAAGTGCAGGGGGGTGCTCGGGGGCTGTGCTGGGCTTATTACTGCCCTCTGGCTCTGCCTACAGGACGGGAAGCAGCGCTCCGGCCCCCCTGGTCCCCAGGATGGTGAGGAGCTGGCAGAGGCTGCGCAATCACCACCGCTGCAGAGCTACTCAGTGCTGCATGGGCTTGTGGGGCCGGCGTGCATCTTCCTCCGACAGAGCATTGCCATCACACAGCTGGTATGTGAGCATTATACCCCCCTGGGGTGCATCCCGGTCCTCTGGGATCACTGCTCCCACAGCTGCCCACTGGTGTGGATTTGGGGTGGCTGTGTGGAGGGAGCCGTCCTCCAGCCTGCATTCTTTTTGCCAGGACCGGGAGCTGCGGCCGGAGGAGATTGAAGGTGAAGTGTAGGGATGTGTCCCTAGGCTGGGTCCTTGTGGGGCTAGGGGTGCTGCTCCGGTGTAGGGTCTCACCCATTCCCGTTCCCCTTGGTCCCCATCCCAGTTCCCATCTTGCCACCCATCCTGTTTGATCCCTGTCTCTCCACATGTTCCTCTCAGTTTCTGTCCTGGTCTCCATCTTAGCACCTGTTCCCCTCACTTTCCATCCCTGTTTCTGTCTTTCTACCTGTTAATCTTAGTCCCCATCACAGCACTTGTTAGTGTCAGTCCCCATCCTGGCCTCTATCTCACCACCCATTCACCTTCATTCCAATCCCAGTCCCCATCTCTCCATACATTCCCCTCAGTCCTCATCTCACCACCCATTCCTCTTGGTCCTCATCCCAATCCCTATCTCAGCACCTATTCTACTGGGTCCCCATCCCAGTCCCCATTGTGCCATCTATCCTGCTTGGTCCCTGTCTTGATACCCATTCCCCTTAATTCCTATCCCAGTCCACATCTTGCCACACATTTCCCTTTGTTCCCATCTCACCACCTGTTCCTCTCAGTCCCGATTCCAGTCCCCATCTTGGCACCTCTTCTACTGCGTCTCTACCCTGGTCCCCATTGTGCCTTTTATTCTGCTGTATCCCCATCTTGCAACTTGTCCTACTCAATCTTCATCTCGCCACCCGATCCCCTTGTTCCCCATCCTGGTCGCCATCTCAGCACCTCTTCTACTAGATCCCCATCTCAATCCCCATTGTGCCACCTATCGCACTCAGTCCCCATCTTGACACCCGTTTCCTTGGGTCCCCATCCCAGTCTCCATCTCAGCACCCATTCCCCTTAGTCTTCATTCTGGTCCCCATCTCTCTGCCCACTCCCATCAATCCCCATCCCGGCCTTCCCCCTCTCAGCACCCATTCCATTCAGTCCCCATCCTAGTTCCCATTATGCCACCCATCCCACTGAGTCCTCATCTTGACACTCATTTCCTTGAGTCCCCATCCCAGTCTCCATCTCAGCACCTGTTCCACTGGCTTCCTATTCCATCGCCCATGTTCTCAGTGTGCCACCGTTCCTGCTCGGTCCCCATCTTGGCACCTGTTCTCTGCAGTTCCCATTCTGGTCCCTGTCTCATCACCTGTCCCTCAGTCCCTGTCTGAGTGCCTGTTCCCTTCATCCCCACCTCGCCTCTTGTCCTGCCCCCACCTGTGGGGTGCCCCCAGGGCTGTCCCTGGGTGTCACTGTTCTCCCTGCTCTGTCCCCAGAGCTGAAGCAAGCCTTCAAGGAGTTTGACAAGGACCGTGATGGCTACATCAGCTACAAGGACCTGGGCGAGTGCATGCGCACCATGGGCTACATGCCCACCGAGATGGAGCTCATTGAGCTGTCCCAGCAGATCAGTAGGTGCCGGGGCAGGGGGAGGAATCCCACATCCGCATGGTGGCACCACCCCCGCTGACCTGCTTCCCCCCTTGGTCCCCTAGCAGGCGGCAAAGTGGATTTTGATGACTTTGTGGAGCTGATGGGCCCTAAGATGCTGGCAGAGACGGCGGACATGATCGGGATCAAGGAGCTGCGCGACGCCTTCCGCGAGGTGAGGGGGTGTGGACAGCAGGGCTGGGGGGACACAGTGCTGGGAGCACAGTGGTGATGCTGGGTCCCCCCGGGGCAGTTCGACACCAATGGGGACGGGCAGATTAGCATGGCGGAGCTGCGGGAGGCCATGCGGAAGCTGCTGGGGCAGCAGCTCAACTACCGTGAAGTGGATGAGATCCTCAAGGATGTGGATCTCAACGGGGACGGCCTGGTGGACTTTGAAGGTAATGGGGGTGAGGGTGAAGGGGGGGGCGCCCCCCCCCCACCCCCGCCTTCTTGGGGCCCCCCCCCCCCCACCCGGGGGGGGGGGGGGGGGTGAGTCCCCATTGCCAGCTTTATTTGGGGGTTAATGCTGTGGTTCTTTGCAGAGTTTGTGCGGATGATGTCGCGCTGAAGGGCCGGGAGCCGCCGCCGTGCCTTACCGGGAGGAGGAGGGGAGAAGGTCTCCCCGGGCCTGTGCTCCGGGGGGGGGTGGAGCCCTGATCGTCGCCCCCTGGGGTCGTGGGTTCGCAGCTTTGCCGGTTCCTAATGAAGCTCTGTGCCGTCGGGTGCCGTGTGCCCGTCCATTGAGTGCCGGGGGAGGCCTCAGGCCCTCGCGGCGGGGGGGCGGGGGAGGCAAATGGGGGAGCAGGACGCCGCGCGTCTCCATGGTGACGAGAGCACGGCGCGCCGTGTTTGCGTATTGGCGGCGTGCGGGTCGTGACGTCATCGCCGCGCCCCGCCGAGAGCGCAGACCGGCTCCTTTCGGGCCGCCGACCAATCAGCGCCGCCGGACCGCGCCGCCCGGCCAATCAGTAGTTAGGAGGCGGTAGGGGGGCGCCCCGCTCGGCCGCTCGCTTCCGTCTTCCCCACACGGCGGCCGACGCTCGGTACGGATTGCCGCTCGGAGCGGTGCGGGGATGTCCTACAAACCCATCGCGCCCGCCCCCAGCGCCAGCCCCGCCCCGGGGCCCGCCGCCACGGCCGCCGGTGAGAGGAGCCCCCGGGGGGCGGCGAACCGGGGGTAGAGCGGGGGTGGGGAAAGAAGGGGACTTAAGGAGAGGCACGAGGCCCGAGCGGGGCGGCGGGACCTGAGCAGGGCGTGGAGGAGAGGGACGGGGACTGAGGAGGGGGCGCGGGGAGTCAGGGGCTGAGGGAGGGAAAGGACGGCGCCTGTGGGCGGCCTGAGGAGAGCCGGGCTTGAGGGGGTGACAGGGCCTGAGGAGGAGGACGGGGCCCGGAGGAGGGCCGGACCCCGACTGAAGGAGGGCCGGACCCGGTGTCGCTCCCCGCAGCTCCCAGCGTCCCCTCGCCGTCCGCCTTCCGCCCACTCTTCAACGACTTCGGGCCGCCCTCCATGGGTTATGTGCAGGTGAGGCCGCGGGGCAGGGGCAGACGAGGGGAGGGCGGTGTGGGGCAAGGCTTAGCCCCCCCCTTCTCCTCCGTCTTCCCTCCCCCCGTGCCTCCCCTGTCAGGCAATGAAGCCGCCCGGCGCGCCGGGCTCGCAGAGCACCTACAGCGACCTTCTGTCTGTCATCGAGGAGATGGGCAGGGAGATCCGGCCCACCTACGCCGGTAGCAAGAGCGCCATGGAGCGACTCAAGCGGGGTACAGAGCCGGGGGGTGGCCCTCTGTGTACCTCCCCTCCCCCCCAGCCCGGACCTCGGTGCCTTACTTCATGTCGTCCCCCCCCTTCAGGGATCATCCACGCGCGGGCGCTGGTGCGGGAGTGCTTGGCCGAGACAGAGCGCAATGCCCGCACGTGACAGCCGCCCCCCGCCCCCCCGAGCCCCGCCGGTGGCTCCCCCCGAGCGGGGCCACCCCCGGGGCTCCCCTCCCTCTCCTAGCCTTCCAGCTTTTATAAATAAAAGACGTGTTGCATCCCTCCCTTAAAGAAAATGCGCCTTCCAAAAAAAAGGAATAACGCAAATTTCCCCGAATATACCGCTCCGTTTTAATTTCCCGGTCCGCCGCCCCCCCGCCTCTGACGTCCCCTCTGATGTCACACCCCCCCCCCCTCGCTGTACCACCTCCTGACGTCAGCGGGCGCCCCCCACGCCGTGACGTCACAAGGCTCGGGGACGGCTCAGAGCGGCGCAGGTTCGGAAGGGGCTGAGCGCAGCCGAAGGGAACCGAAAGGAGCCGAAGGGTTACGGAAAGAGACGAAGGGAGCCGAGCGCGCGGCCGAGCGGGCGGGGGGCGCGTTGCTATGGCAGCGGGGAGGGCCCGGCCGAAGCGGGCCGGGCCGGGGCCGGGTTAACGGCGGCGGGTCGCGGAGCCCCCTCGCCCCTTCCCCCAAACCCGGCGCCATGCTGATCAAGGAGTACCACATCCTGCTGCCCATGAGCCTGGAGGAGTACCAGGTAGCGCAGCTCTACATGATCCAGGTGCGGCTGGAGCCTGAGCCGCGGCCCGAGGCGGTCGCGTAAGGCCTGGGGAGCGGGTCGTGTGGGGTTTGTGTGGGGCCGGGGACCGTGTGGAGCCTGGGGGGGGTGCAGGAGCGTGCGGCTGAGAGTGCAGGTCAGGGGGTTCGAGGCTGAGGGATATGGGGGATGGTGCGGAGCTTGGGGGTTGGCGGTGATCTGGGGGACTCTTTGGGGTCTGGAGGTGTCCTATGGGGTCTGGGGGAGTGTGGGAGGATGGGGTTGAAAGTGAGGGTCAGAGCTGAGCTGGGGGCTGAGGGTTGTGGGGGTCTTGGGGGGGGGGGCGGGGGTTTATGGACTCCTGGGAACTACGGGAGCATGGGGCTGAGAGAGGGTCATAGGATTCAGAGCTGGAGGGACTGTTTGTGGATAATATGGAGCTTGGGGTTTGTATGGGATCCTGGGAGCTGTGTGGAATCTGGGGGAGTAGGGGAGTGTAGGTCTCGGGGTGGTTGGGGCTGAGGGGTATGGGGGAGTGCAGGGGTGTGGGGCTGAGGGTGGGGGTCAGATGTTGTGGGGTTTGAGGTCTGAGGTTGTGGGGGTTAAGAGTATAGAGATATGAGGGCAGTGTGGAGCCTGTGGGGTGCAGGAATGTGGGGCTGTGTATTAGGCTGTGAAGAGAGTGTGGGGCTGGGGGCCTGGGGTATGGAGTTGTGAAAATGGAGTGTGGAGGCATGGGGCTGAGCCTGTTTCTCAGAGTGCTGACTGAAGTGGGGCTCTTGGGAAAAGCTATGGGGCTGAGGTGGGGGTGCAGGGGGGGGGTGGGGTGGGGGGGACCTGGAGCCGGCAAGACAACAGGATCTGGGGTGTCGGGGCTCAGTCCATCCTCACCCTGCAGAAGAAAAGCCGGGAGGAATCAAGCGGTGAGGGCAGCGGGGTGGAGATCCTGGCCAACCGCCCCTACAGCGATGGCCCCGGTGGCAGCGGGCAGTATACCCACAAGATCTACCATGTGGGCTCCCACATCCCCAGCTGGTTTCGGGCCCTGCTGCCCAAAGCTGCGCTGCAGGTGGAGGAGGAGTCCTGGAATGCGTACCCCTACACCCGCACCAGGTGGGATTCCATGGGAATGTAGGCTGGGGGCTGCCCACTGGGCTCAGCCTAACCCCCATGCTTCCTATAGGTACACCTGTCCGTTTGTGGAGAAGTTCTCTATCGAAATTGAGACGTACTACCGGCCAGATGCTGGCCAGCAGACCAATATCTTCAACCTGAGTGCTGCTGAGAAGAGGCAGAGGATCTTGGGTGTGTGCAGCAGGGGCATGAGGCAGGATCTGGGGCTTTCTCTGCTGACCTTGTGCTGTAGGGACAGGTTAATTTATCCTTGTAGGGGAAACTGCCCATATCCTGAGCTCCCTGCTCAGTCCTGTGGATCAGCTGGAGACAGGGAGCTAGGGAATCATGTCCCCATTTTGTCTTCTGCTTCTCCTGCCCCCCCCAGGGCTTTGCAGAGTGTTGTTCCCCGTTCCCAGCCGTCCTGGAGCAGACTGTTCCCCACAGGGACATGTTTTGTCCCCCGTTGCTGCCTGTTCCCATTCCTGGCAGTGTCGACATGGTTGTTTTGGGCGCTGGAGCGCAGCGCGTCATGCTCTACTCCTAAAATGGAGGCCTAAAATAGGCACTCGGAGGAAATGATTCATCTGACCTATTTCTCTCATTGGCTCTCGCAGCACTGGGGATGTCCGGCTGGGACGCTGGTGGCACAGCCAAGGCAGGGGACAAATTTTGTCCCTACCGCCATCACCAGCAGGCAGTGAGCAGAGTTCTGAGCTGCCTTGTTTGGCCTTGTCCTCGGCACACCCCCCCGTGCCCCTGGGGTCACCGCTGCCGTTCTCCAGCTGCCAAATCCCCACGCTAATGCGCCTATGTGTGTCAGCCCGGCTCTTAGCCTGGCCACCCCCACTCCTGCCTCCACCTCTCACTGCTGCTTCTTGAGGCAGCGGGTCTGGCCCCAGTGTGAGGACAGTCCCCAGAGGCTCAAGGGGACAGAGAGACGTCCCATCTTTGGGCACACGGTGTGCGGAAATGATTCGCAGGGCACTGCCAGTCTTATCCCTCACCCTTTTTTCCTTCTACCCCAGACACCATCGACATTGTGCGTGACCCCATATCCCCTGGAGAGTATAAACCCGAGGAGGACCCCAAACTCTACCGCTCAGCCAAGACTGGCCGGGGCCCACTGGGGGATAACTGGCTGGAGGCAGCCAGCAGCGGGCCGCTGATGTGTGCCTACAAGCTGTGCAAGGTGGAGTTCCGCTACTGGGGGATGCAGTCCAAGATTGAGCAGTTCATCCATGATGTTGGTGAGCGTGGGGCGATGGCGGTGAGCCCGAGCCCTGGGATGGTGGGTTTTTGGGGGTCATACCTTACTCACTCCCCCTGCTTCAGGCTTGCGTAAAGTGATGCTGCGTGCCCACCGCCAGGCCTGGTGCTGGCAGGATGAGTGGACTGACCTGACCATGGAGGACATCCGGCAGCTGGAGGAGGAGACGGCGCGGATGCTGGCACAGAAAATGGCCAAGTGTGGTGAGGCTGAGGAGCCCTCCACTGCGGGGCCCAGCCCTGAGGGGCGGCCAGAGCCAGGAGGTGCCAGCAGGCAAGAGGGCACTGAAGCTCAGGGGACTGCCGACATCTCCCCTGATGACAGCTTTGCCAAGCAGTGGTCCACATCTTCGCGTTCTTCCTACTCTTCTCAGCACGGAGGTGAGAACGGGAGGAATGAGGGACCCCTGGGTCCTGTGGCTGCTGCTGTTCTCTGGCAGAGGTGCATCAGGACCCTTCTTTCCTACCCCAGAGCGTGGCTTTGGATGTCCCAAAGCTCTGGGTGGCTCTGGGTGCGTGAGCAGCACTGTTGGGCACGAGCAGGGGCTCGCTGCCTTCGGTGCTGACCCTGTGCTTCTGGCAGGTGGTGTGTCTCCTCAGAGCCTGTCTGAGTGGCGTATGCAGAACATTGCCCGTGACTCCGAGAACAGCTCTGAGGAGGAGTTCTTTGATGCCCACGGTATGGCAGAACAGCCCCACAGCACAGCAGTGTGCTAGATTTGCCCTGTTGGGTTTCAGTGGGGCACAGGGGTATGGACTGTGCTTGGCTCACCCATTGCCCCCTCCCTGCCATCACAGAGGATCTGTCGGACAGCGATGAGGTCTTTGCCAAGGAGATGACCAAGTGGAGCTCCAATGACTTCTTGGACACGCTGGAGCGGCCAGCAGAGCTGGATGAGAATCTGGGTAAGCAGGATGTGTTCAACCTACCCAAGCCCAGGGTGGGCATCCCAAGGTGGGGCTGACCCCTGCATGGACACCCCAGCTTGCTCACCGTTGATGTGTGCTTGCAGGGGAGGAACACAGCACCTCCAGGGCAGATGGCAAAGAACAGCCAGCAGCCAGCTTCTCTGAGGTGTGTGAGCTGCTCACCCCATCCCTTGTAGCCCCCGGCTGTGTCCCTGGCATGGGTGCAGACAGGAGTGCTCTCCTCCTGCAGGGCGGCTTGGCCGAGAGCACGGTGCAGGCGTGCCGGATCCACGTGCTCTTCCTCATACTCCACAGTGGCAACATCCTGGACCAGGGAGGGGGAGAGCTGGGCTCCAAGCAGGCGGACGTGCAGACGTTGGCTGCCACCTTTGATGCTGTCACCCGTGTCCACTTCCCTGAGGCACTGGGACATGTGGCATTGCGCCTGGTGCCCTGCCCGCCCATCTGTGCCGCTGCCTATGCATTGGTCTCCAAGTGAGGATGGAGAGAGAGGGCTGTCCCCACTCAAGCCACCCCAGGAGGGAGGTGGTGGGCTCAGAGAGGGGTTTCACAGAGAAGTGAGCATCGCGGGATGGGTTAGGGACATGGGGTAGCCCTGCTGACCCGTCCTCATGTCTCCCCCAGGCTCAGCCCTTACAGCCATGACCGGGACAGCCTGTCCAGCAGTCAGGACCACATCCCACTGGCGGCCCTCCCGCTGCTGGCCACCTCCTCAGGGAGCTACCAGCATGCTGTGGGCAACGTCATCACCCGTGCCAACCAGGCCTATGCCGCCTTCCTGCACTCTGCTGAGGGCACCGGCTTCTGTGGCCAGGTGAGAGAGGCAGGGGGGCTTAGGAAAGGCTTTGCCCTGGATTCTGGCTGGGGCTTGGCTCCCACTGGGATGATTTTTCTGCTGTCTGCAGGTAGTGCTGCTCGGGGACTGTGTGGGAGGCATCCTGGGCTTCGATGTGCTGTGCCAAAGCCGGACAGGTGCTGGGGGCAGCCGGAGCAGCAGCCGCCGTGGCAGCCTGGTGGGTGCCTCTTTTTTAAAGCTATTGACCATCTTGGCAGCATCTGGCTGCTTGCTGATTCTTCTTGTCCACCCACAGAGCACAGAGCCCATTTCCCCTGAACTGTGCGGCACCCGGGATCCGCTGGCTGACGGGGCGGACACAGCAATGGGGTTGGGCCAAGCCAGCCCCGAGCCAGGGGACGGCCAACATCCAGGTTCCTCGTGCAGGTGAGAGCAAGGGGCCTGTGGGAGTGCCAGCACCCTCCATACAAACTTTGTGCTTTATGTGAACGATGAATTCCCCATCTGTGCCTGGAGGAAGCATTGCACAGGTGCAGCAGTGCCGTGCTGGGGCTCCCCTGCTCGCAGCAGCTCCTCTGGGCTATACGGGCTGTGGCGGGCGCCCTGCAGCACTGTCATTCCTGTGCCCACTGGCTCTGCTCTTGCAGCCCACAGCCTGGCGATGCCCCACTGGAGGCAGAGGCACCACGGAACAGTGCTGCAGCACAGGATGGGGCAGAGAGCACCAGCACCCGCCTTGACTTT